GATTTCAATCGTGCGTAGAGTTGATACAGGGTATCCTCCATGACTGTATTTGCAGACAAAAAAGACCCGGAAAGCATATTGTGAGCTGGTTATCCCATATTAGCACCTTGAACGCCCACCAGTTGAGATATGACCAACCACAAAGCCCACTAGTTCCTTGCCTTGGGCCACTGACACTTTGTGCGTACAAAGTTCTGTAGTTCTGACGTGTGGAATATTGAGAAATGAAGTCGGAAGCGACATTTATCTTGCTTAGGCCGTGGCTGTCCATTGAGCCTGGAAGAACATAGAAATATCAGAATAACAGTAGCTCACTCAAGACCGAAGTGTTGTCTTACCAAGACGTTGATCACTGCTCGGTATGAGTGATCCCATCTCAAGCGCAAAAGAGCGCCCCAACAGAATGTTGCCATATCCAGCATGGTCGTCCGAAAGGGACAGATATGTCTTGACAAATTGTGTAAGTCGCTTTCCAAGGCTCAAAATAGCTGGATATCATACCTGAAGTAGGCCTTTTACATCCAAGGGTGCAATATCCATGGCCGCCGCTACCCATGTCTTAGATCGTTCAAGGAGAACATCTAATGTTTTTTTCCTAAAGTTATAGTTGTCGGGTAGATCGGCTTTGACCAACCCTGTAGGTGAAGTAAATGAAGGATTCCATTCAAACTCATCAAGCTCTCCTTCTAGACATGAGCGCCACATAACGGTCAAAAGCTCGAGCATAGCGAAAAGGGAGTGCTTCTCACACAGTGCCGATGGACATTCATTTATGATCTTGTTAGCACAGAGTACGGCGACGTTTTGTACCCTTTCAACACGATGGCTGCAAGCGATAAAGAAGCCGGCCAGCTCTCTTGATAGATAGGCAACAGAAAAGCCTTCGGACTTTCCGGACATCGTCAGCGAAAGGTAACTGGCCACTACTTTCTCTGCAATCGCACTCATACAGCTAGCCATTTCTGTAGTAGCTATGGCCGGGTCGCGGAAGTAATCAAGAAACCCGGTACATTTCCCAGACAGCGCACGAAATTTTTCGACCAAGATCGTAGCGTTGAGGAAAACCACTTGTGGGTAGCTTAACCGCTTTGTTTCAGCCTCGTGGCCAGGGAGTTCAGCAAGGAGATTTCGCTTCTGCTCTTGGAAGCGTTGTGAGCCCATTCCTCGCCTAAGGATTGTGTTCAGCTCAACGTCGCTTTCCGTTGCCTCCATACGGTCTTCGGAGACAAGGGGAGGAGAGTGCTTGGCGAGTAAGCGGAGCTCCTCAAATTGGCTTTGACCAACAGCCGAATGCATGGATATCCCATGTACCGCGATATTGAACCATGCATCCCGGAATAGAGCAGACACATCCTGATCATAATCTGTGATGGTATCCGCGTTATCCTGCTGTTCCTTGTCTGACGACACGAGTAAAGCCAAAGGCCTTAGAAGAGGGCTGATTTCGTCCGCTGCAAGAGCAAGCTCCTTCTGCCTCTCACTTTCGAGATCGGTAGCATCACCCTTGTTTACGACATTTTCCAGTAAGTGAACCAGGTATACACCGTATAGTGGCGAGTCTCTTTTCAACGTGATAGATAGATATGCCAATGCACTCTTAACAGCATCAGTAACGCTATTATAGCCCCTGGCCACACCATCACGGTATGCTCGATCATAAAACTTGAGCAGGAGCTGAAATTCAGCTTGCCCAGTACTTAATGATATCGCAGCTGTTTCCGTAATGATGAAAGCGTCAATAGTAGCATTTACCTTCCCAATTTTCTGCAGCAACATGGACTGCGCCAAAGCGCTTATTTTCTCATCATTGCAGCTAACTGCAATTTGTACAATAGCTCGGACGACATTTTTGTACGAAAGATTATTTGCTTCGTCTTCAGCTGAAAACGAAAACACACTGCCAGTTCTGGTCGTTGGAATGGGGAGAGGTGTATTTCCATGTGCAGAATTATCCCCAGGCATGTGGCTCTGGTACGACTTGTCAGTGCCTGAGCCAGAGCTCAGAACGTTCCCTAAGGAGTAGAGAGTGGTAATAACAGAATCTTGGGAAAGACCACCGAGAATATGTGCAAGGCATTCTCCTGCAATGGAACCGGTGGTACCGGTCGGTGCACCTCCTTCAACGATGAATCTCAACAAAGAGCGGCTTCCTGAGGATGCAATTGTTATGGAAGTTCGCGAAATAACTGCCATGCTTTTCAGAACCGCTGTTGCTAATTCAGCATAAGCCATCTGGTTCGGATCCATAAGTGTATCCTCTAGCCATGAAACAAAGTCTTCTTTGTTCGTTGTATCTTCACACAGAATGATACAATTCAGGTATCCGACTAAAGCTAGGGCCTTCATAGAAAAAGCAAGCCGTTGCTTCCAGGGGGAGCCAAGTCGCAGATAATCGGAGCCATCTTCTAAGAGCTGGATCTCATCAGCGATGATAGCCGCCACCCGATCGGTAAGAGCGATCTCTGTGTCATCAGAACTTTTAGAAGTGCTTAAGTTAAGCAAGTGATCGTGTGAAAGCTCGGCACCTGATGTGCCATTCATGTCGGCCGCACGTGTAACGCATGACTTGAGAAACCTGATGAATCCTTCCTGGAGTAACATAGCACCAAGAGGACGCCCATCAGAATCATAACGGCGAGTGTATTTTCTCCACTCCCTGAGCAGATAACCAGACATGCTTCCATTCCGTACAATAGACGAGGCAGTCTCCACGGCTACCAAAAACCGCTCGCAGAGCATCGAACGCAGGTTGTTGGCTAAATGAAGCTTCTCACTGGGAGCCCAGAATGAAGAGAGTGCAGCCGAAGCTCCCAAGAAGCCGACAAGAGAGGCGGATATCGATAGCACGCTGGTTGATTCCTGTTCGGCATCCCGACTGTTTGCTTCCGCTTGGTAGTGATGAAGTGGTGCAACTGCTTTGATAGCTTCGGCACAATTGCTCAGATACTCATTGAAAGCCCCAGCCACGATACTACGCAGCGATGAATAGCTCGAACCCAGGGAGAGGAGAGCCAGCGTGAGGTTATGAGTTAGGCTCTCCCAAGGCGAAGGTTTCACATTGTGAAGAAAGGGTGAAGGGCGGAAAAGTTGGCTATGCGCTTCGGGAAGGTATTGTGACAAAAGTGATACTAGTCTCGAAGCATGCTCGATATTGGTCACTGAAGGAGACGCTTTACATAGAGCAACTAGCACATCTAGCTCTCTCATGCCCTGAAGGGGTCAGCCTAGAAGCCACCTACGAAGCGGCACTGAGAAAAGGGGCCAACAAACCATAGGCACCCGTGATGTAGGAGCTTGGGCTTGCAAGATACCGTTGAGGGTATCGTTCGACGAGTGAGCGGGACAGAGTGACTGCTGGGCGAGTCGTGCGATGTCTGAATCGCTGCCGCATTCTGGTCCCTTGACTGCTAATGCCGCAAGCCTATTCAGAGCCGAAGCTCTAATAGTCGAGGGGCTACGGTTCCTATCAGCACAAATTCTACCCAAGAGATATGCAGCCGGCCTACCCATCCATAGTACCGAATAAATCCACCTAATTAGCGTTTATCGCGTTTGAATGCGTGTGGTGACGAATAGACTGTTGCTTTTCAGAGCACTAATGTCAATTGCCTAAGGTAGCAGGGAGCCCCTTGATAGGAGATTATGTGTTATCGTCCCGCGGAGTACGGGAGCTGGTTCCCTCAGAACCTCGGTACGGCAGACACGTGGGCCTTAAACGCTTCTGTAATTGAATCGTGAATCGTGTTTCACTCATGACAGTGACTTTCTGCTTTCATTTAGGCGAGGATACTCCTTTAAGAGCATAATGCTTCCTTCGAAAACTTTAATGGCTAGTGAGAATCTTATGTAGTGTTGTATTTGTCTTCACTTTCAAACAGTACGCTATGCTCCTATGCAGTGATTAATAAAATACTATATCTCCGCTCAGGTCCTGCTGTGCCTTTCTATTGTGTAAGCTTGTACATATATAATCAACAATTTATACAGCTACTAATCATGACGCGATATCAACTGGTACTCAGCTTCGAACATGATTAAGAGTCGCTCAATGTTAAAGCCGGCATTGCTCTATTCGCTAGTTAACTAGTGACATCGGATTCAACCACAGGCCAACTACAAACTACGTGCTACAGTACCCAAGTATTAGCCGTTTCGAACATGTGGGCTAAGTCAAGCATCCTAAGTCCAATTATGTGGCAGAAATTCTCGAAATATTAATTATCCAAGACCATGCATATCCTTCATCTCCAATGTAATCCACACGAATTTATACGATGTCCAGGGGTGCTGGGTCGAAAGCGGTGACAGTATTTATGATAAATGACGACCCAAGAAGGTGTAGCTCGGTTCAACCTACCGATGCCGGGAGCTGAGGTACCACACGCTAAAGGTTGTTTGTGACCGACTTCTATGTACACTGCAGCCTTGATTTATTTTACAATAGATCGCTCTGTCTATCTTTCGCATTAGCCAATCTAGGGATTTCAGTGAAATAATCTTTTTCCGTTCTCTTCCTGCCCCTTTGGTCTACTCGCCCGTATCTTTCCAGTGATCATACACCTCAACTTCTACACTTGAGCATTCCCCCCACTCTCGAAGCATAGGAGGGCCTGGCAATATTCCAGTGCTTATACTCTGGTTTCTATGCCATTTTTCGACTCTTGAGGCGTGAAAGCCAAGCTGATCTTGTGACTGTTGGTGCTTTATAGGATGTGAACAGGCAATACAATGGCACCACACAACGAAAAAAGCTCCCTCAAGCGTGGCAGAGTATGTCATTACCGTTAAATTCCCCATTAATAATTGAACTGACGATGGCGTAAACATGTAGGTCTCAGCTGATAATGACTCACAAGATCTTAAAAAGCCACGACGCTCAGAGAGGAACAATCCCGAAAGCAAAGCACAAGCTCTAGACGATCAGTCCTATTTGCCTACACCCTTGACCCAACGAGAATCAACTGCCACAGACATTGAAAAGGAGACGACTGTTATACCAGATGAGCCTGACCGAAGTTCGCATCGGCGGACACCTTCAAATTCAGAACTCCCGCAAGCTAGTTCATCGCCTCCTAGCGATACTCAAGCCCTTTCTCAATTTGTTTATCCCCCTAGAGCATTTGCCGATGAAGTCGAAGACGAAGCTGCAGAGGGAGTTTGGGGATACCTTCTTCCGCTTGATGATAAGGTCCGCCGTCCTCTAGTATTGAGGAAACGCGGAGGATGCGAGGAGCGCAAATCCGCAGCATCTACAACTAACTCCAGTAAAGGGGCGGCGAAAATGAGTGCGGGTTCCGTACGTAAACAAGTGAATTCTTTGTCACCTAGTGGCTACCTGATAGGCCGACACCCTGAATGCGGTAGGAAACCTGATTATGTTTTCTTACACAAACAGTTAACTAAGCTTACCAGACTTGGTGATTAATATACCTACTGTGTCAAATCGACATGCTTTGGTATTTTCGGAAAATAGGAAAGGCGATGCCGTTGCTTTTCTGCAGGATCTTTCCATTAATGGTACTTTTGTCAATGATGCAATGGTGGGCCAAAACAAACACCGTGAACTTGAAGATGGTGATGAGGTCACTATTCTAGATGAAGCACGTTTTGTTTTCAGATATCCCCGGACACGAGATACCAATCGTTTCCGCCAACAATATAGGCTTCTGCAACAGCTTGGGAAAGGCCACTTCGCCACAGTCTACCTTTGCGTAGAACGGTCTACGGGGGCTCAATATGCTGTAAAAGTTTTCGAGAAACGCTCTGGCGATTCGCAGCATTCCCAAAATGAAGTTCTTCATCAGGAAATCGGTATCTTGATGGGCGTCAGTCATCCGAATTTGCTTTGCCTCAGAGATACATTCGACGAAAGCGACGGCGTTTATCTGGTCCTGGAACTCGCTCCAGAAGGCGAATTGTTCAACTTGATTATCAGCCAGCAGAAATTTTCAGAAAGTGAGACTCGTTGCATCTTTATCCAATTGTTTGAAGGGCTGAAGTATTTGGTATGTTCTACAACTCCCTTGCCAATCTTTTGTTTTTCCCGGTAGTAGCGACTAAGACGGAGTGTTAGCATGACCGAGGCATCATTCATCGTGACATTAAACCTGAAAACATTCTTGTCGCCAACAAAGAGTTGACAGTGAAACTTGGTGATTTTGGATTAGCCAAGATTATTGGTGAAGACTCGTTTACTACCACACTGTATGGCACGTACTCCAATGTTCTTTAATATTAGTGCTAACTAATCATTGTTGGTAAGATGCGGCACACCAACCTGTGAGTCTCCTAATCCACTCGGATGCCGGAACGATAATACTAATTTTGTAGATGTCGCGCCAGAAATCTTGCAGGAGCGGCGCTATCGAAGATACACAAAGGCTGTGGATGTCTGGTCTCTCGGAGTCGTTCTATACATATGCCTTTGCGGATTTCCCCCATTCTCTGACGAACTATACACAACTGAGCACCCGTACACGTTAGCACAACAAATACAACAAGGGAGCTTCGACTATCCATCTCCGTATTGGGACACTGTGGGTGATCTGGCCTTGGATCTGATAGACCGAATGCTCACAGTTAATGTCGACGACCGAATCACGGTGGATGAATGCTTAGAGCACCCATGGATTACAGGAAAGCAGCCTAGTGTTACCGACAGCACAGACGGCCTGACTGGGGCTTTAGGAAATTTGGACTTTTCAAAAAGAAAGCTAGCGCGCGAAAGAACACTTCTCAGCAATCTCAATGATGTTCGCTACAGTGAACATGAGCGGACAAGTGGTGCTCCTGTCAAAGTTTTCCACAAGAACGATGCTGGGAAACGTGTTCACAACCATCCAGCCAAAAATGCACGAGAGCGTGAAGTATCACCTAACGAGAAAAGTGCCCCGAATAACTTTGTCAACCTCGGAGAACAAGGTGACCCAGTTTTGTTCGATGACAAACCAAAACATGGGCATAACTGAAGAGGAGACAGCATTGTGCAACTGGAGATCCTCTGAAGCCATCGAATCGAGTTTATGTTGGCCGTGGCAGAAACCGAGTTCTCTTTGAGTGTATTCCTAGGAGGACTGGCCGTTTTCTTGGTTGGGTGGCATTAGCGTGCTCTACGAGTACTTGAGGGCATAGACAAGAGTCAAGTATACTCTGTAATCGACTTTCTATTACTTACAATAATAACAGCTTGAGTTGACTGTATAACATACACAGACTAAGAGCTTTGCTTCATAGACGTACTAGCTTTCAATTGCTAGCCAGGGGCACTTCCAGACGCATCGGAACTTAGTACTTATGCCGACTAGAGCCGTCCAATATCATGCGATGGGTACTTTTACAATGACTCACACGAGTTGAATTCGAACAGAACCAAGGTAAGCAAAAAAGAAAGAGAGGTCGGATTTCGTATTGCTGCAAGGGAAAGCTTCTTCAATAGACAGGCAATCCTGCTTGTTTCGTATGCAGGACCTACCTGCATCGATGGGTTGCATATTCGGCACACACACTTACGTAGTGAGAGTCTTGGACCTTTCTCATTTACTGCAATAAAGAGGGCGGAGCTATACATTCCACAATGTATAGCATGGGAAAATAGATTGTATCAGCGCTCCTAGTACACAATGGGAACGTTTAGTAGTTCTAGTATGGAGTACTACCACTAGTAGTTTCTTAACTACTAATCAGGAAGTTAGATATTGGGTAGCAAAATGCGTATTTCGTATTGTAGTTACGGCTATGTACTCCGTAACCAGGGGCAGGAACGGGCCTGGACCCACTCCGAGGAACGGCTGGGTACTTTCAGACTTTGGACTGTCCAGTTCCTGCTACTAGGAGAGCCGCGGGCGCGGATCCGTTCAAATTGGTACGCCCACCAAGAATCCGTGAGCGGGTCGAGGCTACTAGTATTACTTTACTAAGGGCGCTCACTTACTGGCAAGTGGCGTGCTGCCGTTTTTCTCTCTTGCTTGTTTCTTTCCCAAAGTGCACTTTCCTGCGCCGTTACAAGCAATTTACACAGGCATCCGTCGCGCTCCCACGCCGAGGGCTAGGAAGGTGCCTCTGCTTGAGTCACTCTTCCTTGTGAACATAACAAACTCACTTCAATCAGTCTATTCCGGTTATTCTGTTCCCGCTGTCGTCCCATCATGGGCTTGCTCGCGGTTGTTCTCGACAGCCTCTGCGAGCGCTGCTCGAACACGTCAGTGCTAGTAGTCTTGGGATTCGGGCTGTTATCCCTGCTGGCCGTCTCTGTCATTTTCAATATCCTAAGACAGTTGTTCTTCAAGAATCCCAATGAGCCTCCTCTGGTGTTTCACTGGTTTCCATTCATAGGTAGCACTATTAGCTATGGCATGGACCCCTATAAATTCTTCTTCGATTGTCGCGCAAAGGTACGGACTGGTATTGTGAAGGTATCGATATTTTGTTTTTGTGCTGACTCGAATCTACCTACAGTACGGCGATATTTTCACATTCATTCTCCTCGGCAAGAAGACAACAGTTTATCTGGGAACCAGGGGCAACGATTTCATTTTAAACGGAAAGCTACGTGATGTCTGTGCTGAAGAAGTCTATTCCCCGCTTACAACTCCTGTCTTTGGGCGTAATGTGGTGTACGATTGTCCCAATGCCAAACTTATGGAGCAGAAGAAGGTGAGCTTGAGCGTTGAGAAAGTTTTGGCACATGTACTAATGATGGTAGTTTGTCAAATTTGGTCTCACATCAGATGCCCTACGTTCATACGTTCGTTTGATCACTGGCGAGGTAGAAAATTTTGTCGAGCATTCTGCGGCTTTTAAAGGGTCAAGTGGCGTTTTCGACGTCTGTAAAACCATCGCAGAAATCACCATCTACACCGCGTCACGTTCGCTTCAAGGAAAGGAAGTTCGGAGCCGATTCGATTCTACTTTCGCCGAATTATATCATGATCTTGACATGGGGTTTGCTCCTATCAACTTCATGCTCCCCTGGGCACCACTTCCCCACAACCGGAAACGTGATGCTGCACAGAAAAAGATGACCGAAACTTATATGGAGATTATCAAGGAACGCCGTAATGGTGGAAACAAGAAGGATTCCGAGGATATGGTCTGGAATCTCATGTCATGCATATACAAAGATGGCACTCCGGTTCCAGACGAGGAAATCGCACACATGATGATCGCCTTACTGATGGCTGGCCAGCATTCTTCTTCGTCGACAGCTTCATGGATAGTTTTGCACCTTGCAAGAAACCCGCAAATCATGGAAGAGTTATATGCTGAGCAGATCCGTGTGCTTGGGTCAGATCTTCCACCTCTTACTTATGATAACTTGCAGAAACTTGACTTGCACGCTAAAGTGATCAAAGAGACACTACGAATCCACGCGCCAATCCATTCAATCATCCGCGCAGTCAAAAACCCTATGCCTGTGGATGGCACGCCATATGTTATTCCCAACAGTCACAATGTCCTTTCGTCACCTGGTGTTACCGCAAGATCCGAGGAGTATTTCCCCAACCCTCTCAAATGGGATCCTCACCGTTGGGATGAGACTATTGCGGCTAGTGCGGAAGAAGAAGACCAAATTGATTATGGATATGGACTTGTCAGCAAAGGAACTAATAGCCCCTACCTTCCGTTCGGTGCGGGACGTCACAGATGCATCGGTGAACAATTCGCCTACGTGCAACTTGGTGCGATTACTGCGGCTTTGGTGAGGCTATTCAAGTTCCGCAACCTGCCAAACGTCAAGGATATCCCGGAAACAGACTACTCGGTAAGCTACACCCTTTTCAGACCGATCATGCGTCGACTTTTATGGCTACGATTGACAAAGCTGACCAATTCTAGTCTCTCTTCTCCAAGCCCGCTGGGAAGTCCATCATTCAATTTGAGAAGCGCGCTACCACCATTAAATCATGACAACCTGCCTGTTACTGTATAGAAACCGCGTTCGGTGATTGTACTTAAACCTCTCATGTAATACGATGAAATTGACTCGGAATTGGTCATTTCATGGAATTTTCTTTTTTTACTCTTGGTTTCCTTTGGGGCTTTATTGGCCGGTTCCATACTCATGTAATGGCTACTTGTACAGTACTTCAATCCAATGTCTTGATCTAGGGTTGACTATGAGTGAGGATTGTGTTATGTTTACGTGGTTTACACGCAATTTGAAGAGGCCATAATGTATCTATAGTCAAAGCGACTGTCCCATACAGGCGTCTTATGGGACGGCCATTCTATCAGAAATAGAATTCTTTTCTTGAACGCGATGGGAAACAGTGTCAATAGCCGGAAGAACTGTTAATCTATGAAATATAATACATGTGACATGAGTCAGTATAAGTGCCCTTTAAGATACAACGGAGGTAGGTAAGAACAAGTATGTGTGTTTTGTGGCGTAGTCTTAGACTCCCTTCTTCCTCTCTTCGCTTCGCTTCTTGGCCCGAACTTCAGCACGTCTCCTTTCACCACCGTCCACTTTCTGGCCGAGCTTGTCCTCCCACATGCCCTCTTCGACCTTGATTAGGGCCGCACTACCATTTGTGCCTTTGATCGGTTGGAGATACGGGCCACTGATAGCAGAACCGGCAGTGATCTTCATGCGGGCAAACTTCTTGAGGGGTTTCGTGGGATCATGAGTGTATTCAGAAGCATCCGGCGCAATGTTGACAATGACTCTTTTCATCCCCGGAGATAAAGTAGCCGAGGAATTCAAAGGGTGCGACGTTTCCTTGTTCAGTGTTGGGACTTCAACAACTCGAAGCTGCGCAACGCCATCGACCACGTTCTCCAGGTCTCCACCGGGCCCATAGATCCCCTGCCTGAACTTGTCCATCTTGCGAAGCAGGTAACGCCGCTGACGTGCGGGCTCAATGCCCAGATCTCGAAGTTCAGTGGAACTGGAAGTGAATAGCTTATCCCAGGAAGGCAGCTTGCTCGCGTGCTTGTGCATCCCACGACCGATCAATTTAAGAAAGGTCTCGACATCGGGAACGAAGGGAGTGGGTGACGGCGGAGAAGGGGTGCCCGTGTTCTTATGAAGATTTCGTATGAATTGTTTGCTTATCGTCAAGGACCTCATCACTTGCAAGGACAAGCGGTGCGAGCTGCGCGTCGCCATTATGTCGTCGGGCTTCTTCAAGACAACCGATGCCCTCTCGAAGTTGTTGATTGAGCACTATCGATGGTTCGTTTAAAAAGCAGGGAATTCGGGAGGATGCGGAATTGAAAAAATTCGGGCCCCTTCCCCGTCGCTGAAAATAGTCACTTTGGTAGCGTAGTAAGAGTTAGATGCCTTCACACTCGGTCCCGACCAACCTGGAGAAAAGTTCGGCGGCATGCGCAGTTCCGGGGCAGTCCCGGGATCAACAAAACTCCGAAATCTGATCCTAGCTTCGCATATACTCAGGCAACTTTTGTCATATCTTGCCGACCAGTCCGACACTCTTGACTGTCGACTTTCACTACCCGTCGATCTACGCTCTCTGGAATGCTGCTGCTGCATCGGTGACACTAATCATCCTCTCCCTGCCCATTGGGATTGAGGGCATATAAGCAGACGATGGCGGTTTCGCCTTTGGTTCCCCACGCCTCATCAGTTGCCGCCTCAAGCTCGAATACAGGCAATAAGCTCGATAATGAATCTGGAATCAACTCACCTAATAAGCCAAAGGGCTCATCGCCGCCCCAGCGCATGAAGAATCCTGACCGCGAAATCACGGAGCAACTTAACGACGATGTGAGGCACAAATACATAAAAGGTACTGAACTCCCATCGCTCGCTTTAATGTAACTCCACTATCCAATACATCCTGTCATTTCTATAATACTTTGAATCACAATCTCAGCAGTATCAGCAAGGCGATACTAATCAATAGCCAATCTTGCAGATAAGAAGTTGGGTGAGGGAACTTATGCTGTAGTCTTTCTCGGGCACCTTCGCACCGACCCATCGTCATTCGTTGCAATAAAAAAGATCAAGGTCAATGCTGAATACAAGGATGGGCTTTCTATGGACGCTATTCGAGAAGTGAAATACCTCCAGGAGCTTTCTCATCCAAATATAATTGCACTCCACGATGTGTTCTCGTCCAAAGATCAAAACCTCAATCTGGTCCTCGAGTACCTGCCACGCGGTGATCTAGAGATGCTCATCAGGGATAACAATATTCATTACGGGGCTGCCGATGTTAAGGCCTGGATGGGTATGCTTGCCAGGGGTGTTTGGTTCTGTCATGAGAATTACATCCTGCACCGAGATATCAAACCAAACAACCTTCTAGTCGCCGCTGACGGCGAGGTCAAGCTGGCAGATTTCGGTTTGGCCAGGTCGTTCGCTGACCCATACTTGAACATGACACACCAGGTGATCACACGCTGGTATCGACCCCCCGAGCTGCTCTTCGGTGCGCGACAATATTCTGGAGCAGTCGACGTTTGGTCCATGGGAATGGTTTTTGCCGAACTTCTTCTACGGGTCCCATTTGTCGCAGGGAACTCAGACTTGGATCAAATTTCCAAGATTTGCGAAGCCTTCGGGACGCCAACTGAAGAGAACTGGCCTGGCGTAACTAAATTGCCAAATTACATACCAGCCGATCCGAATCATATTGTGCCCTTACAAGGTCGAGATTTTTTTCTCAGGCAGTTTCCGACGGCTGGGCCTGTTGGGGCAGACTTGCTCATGTCGATGTGTACTTTGGATCCCAGAAAACGGAGCACCGCCTGCCAAATCCTACAACACGGCTGGTGGCTTGCTGAACCGAAGCCAACTAAGAAACAAGATCTTCCTAGAAAAGTTGGCGGAACTAAAAAGATGGGCGATGATTTAACGAGGCGAGGTGGAGAACTTAACGATACTCCCTTCAGAAATGCCGCTCGACAATTGGATTTTGGCGCGGCAAGGGACTGATAAACACATATACGTCTTCTCGGCCTCGACGCTTCGCACACGGTTACACTTGAATTTCCCCTGGTCCCTTAGCTTACTGTGTGCCATACCGATGATCAAAAAGATCACACGGTTCGGGGAATATCCAACATAAGTTCATTGAGGATTCTAAGTCATATCAAGGTCAAGGATAAGCAGGTGGTAAAATATAAGTCAGGTATTCTTAGGGGTATAAAGATTAATGCTGACATGGAAGAAGAGCTGGTCTTCCACAGTGTCAACTTGTGCTCCCCCAGGAAGGGATATGGCAATCGGCTCATTGTTGGTGAAGTTCATCTCTCGAGACAAGGTCCGCTCATCGACATTGCGGATTGCACCTAGAAAGGAGACAGAGACATGCGGCAAGGTGACTGAATAGTCATTGCAAGTTGATGCCGACTCGTTTGGTGTAGCAAGTTCAGCAGAAGATTGTTGTCGGCTTAACACCAGCCGCTATATGGTTCGCCAATTTCTGGAATTGTCGATACCTTAACAGTTGCGGAGTTGGAAACATCATGACTCGAAGGGGTCATTCGTATTAGTCCATAAGGTCTCAGACAAGGAGAAATCCTTCATGTGTGCATGCGTCCGTCAAACGGGCTCTGTGGCTGGAAGGGTTCATGCTGTGTATGCTGTTGTCTTGGCATCCTATGTGCGGAAAAGCAAGCAGGACCGCTCAGTAGTAGGGATCGACATTGGTACCTTCAAGGAGAAATTGATCGACAAAGCTCAACCCCTATCATGGGAACGGCCGCAGTGCTCTGTCCTGCACACTGCATCTGATGGAAAATTATTGTATTATGCAGCGCACATGTAAAGATATTTATTTGAGTCAGCCGCTTAAGAATTGGGCAAGGGAATTAGCCACCTCATCCTTAGGGACATGTGGATGGAGGAAAATGTAGGGCAGTACTCCGTAGTAATAAATATTATGGAGTGTATAGCGTTTCGGTCAGAGGGTGGCTGGTACAGATGATAATAACTCCAAAGCCCCTTACAAGGTCTAATTAAACATTAAAAGAGTGCTTCCGTCTGTTAGCGTCTGGTCCCTCTCACAGTTTTACCCACTCGAGAGGTGTTTTAGAAATGGGACAGTAAGTGCTCGATCTCCCCTACCAGATAGGTACACAGCACAGACATTGTAGTTCTACGTATTAGCAATATCACTGCTTCACTTCGAGATGTCAGAACAGTACCTCATCCGACATGATTACCCTTTACGAATCCAAAAACCGTGTTGACGGAATAGTCGGTGGAAACAATCCAACGGGAAGGTACTATTTGTAGACGGGGAACCGTCTTTAACAAAGGGAAGATGTGTTGTAAACACCGGCAAGCTGAGCTCGAAGTGCTTGTATTGCTCGGTTTCAATACACACTGTCCAAAATTGTGGCGTTGGATGAGAGAAGAACTGCCGCATATTTACGTAGACAGAGTTTAAGACTGCACGCCAGGCCAACACTTTTAGTATGTTTGGTGTGAAACTGGTACTAAATGGGTATGATGTCGAATACGGCAGCATGAATTTGTATGCTCGAGTAAAATCTTAGATACTTGAGCGCTAGATAAAACATCGTCCGGTAAAAGGATTTCTACCATGGACCCCCCCATCCGCCTGCCAACTAGCGTAGTAGATCTCTAACTTACTGTAAGTTTCCAGGTAGTACCGTATAGGAGGTATCCTATACAAAGTTCCCGCACATTTGTTTGGATCCTTGGTTAGTTACAGTAGTTATTTTGCCGGTATCAGGTATCACAGGCTCCAGAAAGGTCCACTGTCCGAGAGCTAAATTCCACCACAAAGGGGTGCGGACTATGCTATGGTTACTTGCTACGGTGCCGGCGGAAGCAACGGTCAGCAGCTCATTTGTGCCGGTAACTAATGGTTTCAACTACCAGCATCATCAGACTGTACGATGGTATAGTATAATCACGAGCGCAATTAATTCTCTTACTCTTAACCAGGGAGTGGGTGAGTTGCTACTGCGCCCCTCATAACCTGCTCCCGGCCTTTTACCCGTCCCGCGCGGCACTAGAGTAAGGACCAACCCTTGAAGCCTCCTTCAACCCAACGCCTCGCGTTCGAGGCGAATTGCGGCGTACGGGGTATCTTGCCTATCTGAATAGATTGATTACTTGTCTACCCATTCTTTTGGCCATGCCTGATTTGCGCACAGGTTCTCTTCTCAGGTGTTAACGCTCCCGATCAGCGCCCCCTCGTCAAACGCCATCCATCATTCGGCAGTGCCGCTCTCAGTTCGCCGCTGTCGTAATAAGAAAGAAGCCTGTCCAAGTCTGCCAGGGCTGAAACGGGATATTTGACATCGGCCCATAACCTACACACGTGCCCAACGCTGCAAGAGACCCAGCCAGCAAGGGCTTCCGGACACATTTGTGTCGTGCGCAAAGGTTGGCGCTTGTTTACGTTACAGTCCCCTTATCTCAGCCCGCAACATCCTAGTCTTTGGGCAATTTGCGGAAACGTCCGACTCAAGACTCGGCCTTCGAAAGACGGGACTGCCTCATATCAATCAAGGTGAGTCACCATATTCGTGCCCTGACAACCTAGTATACCTGTTGTTGTTCTACTACTTTCCCCTATCTCCTCACAAATCATACAAGCTTCTTTCTACAAAGGCACAAACGCGTGACAGACTGTTGCAATCCAACCCAAGGCCGGTCATATGGTGATATTGTTACATGTCTCAAGGACTTTTCATTTGCAAGTCTAACAGATTCTTTTCTTCTAATATAGGCGCGAATTTGGGACTTTAATCTGGCACTTACGGATGGCCGCCGCGGATCTTTCCGAGTAATAAGTTAATGTGCCAGCACCGCATGGTATAAGTTGCGAATTCCTCATATAATACACAGTCACCTGAAAATGTCAACCTTGCCACCGTCGTCGCGGACGGCCACGACCTCTGCGGCTGGGCCCTGTCCTCAATTCCCAGCTCCTAGGTCACGGAAAAGCCTTCCTGTTGCATCTGACACGTCAAGGGCGCCGTCCCCATCCCAGACGTCCCTCAAGACGCGCACCCCTTCTAGCCCTAGATCAACTCTTGGAAGACACCTCCTGTCTAGCTCGATGACCAATACCAGCACATCGCGGACCGTTGCTGGTAGCCGGGTTCCGAGTAGCCCTGATAAATCACTGCGACGAACCATCAGCATTGCAGCATTTCCTCAGCCACCTAGGTCGGGAAGCCGCCCTTCTACTGCGTCTTCAATATCGGGAATACAGGGCGTTCATCCATCTGGGAGTGTAAAGGCCAGGAAAAGCTCGAGACTAAGTACTGGAACCACCAGTAGTCATCGGAGTTCTAATACCGCATCGTTACTAAGTGGCGCTGGGGATGCGAAATCCATTTCGACTATTGAAGCACGAGATGCGGAAGCCTCCCCATCACAAAGCAGAAGCTCATCTGCGCAGGGATCTTACTCAACTAGTGCAACTACGTTTGAAGATCCCGATGAAGGCGCACCAAAATCAAACTCTAGGCTGAAAGAGACAAAGGGGAATGTCATCGTGAGCGTCCGAGTACGCCCTGACGTGAATGGTGCCGAAGTCGCAAAGACCTCTGAATGGTCAGTAGATGGGAGGCAAGGCCTTATCTCTTATAACGGAAAGGAGGGCGGTGATTATTCGTTTGGTAAGGATATCCTTCGTATTTCCTTCGGGCGCAACAAGGTATACGTGACTTACTCTTTCATATCTTCTTGTTAGATAACGTGTTCACCCCTCATGAACATAACGCAAAGATTTACGACTCTGCAGCGAAACGTCTAGTAAGGCGGGTAATGGAAGGATATCATGGTACAGTCTTCGCTTACGGCATGACTGGTACGGGCAAGACCTTTTCTATGCAAGGAACCGCAACCTCCCCGGGAGTGATACCGTTGGCAATAACAGATATATTCTCCTTCATCAGGGAAACGCCCCATCGTGAGTTCTTATTGCGTGTCAGCTACCTGGAGATATACAATGAGAAAATCCACGATCTTCTGTCAGCCTCGGTATCTGGCGGAACCGCTGTCCCTCAACAGGAGGAAATCAAGCTCCGCGAAGACAGCAAACGTGGTGTATATGCCACGCCACTGAAAGAAGAAATTGTTCAAAGCCCGACACAGCTTCTCCGTGTGATCGCGAGGGGCGATCATGCTAGGCGGACCGGTAGCACGCAATTTAACTCTCGCAGCTCTCGAAGTCACGCGGTTGTTCAAATTGTTGTTGAGAGCAGGGAACGAGTGCCTGCTGGAGCTTCTCAAGATAGAAGGTCAGGCTTGGTTCCAGGTGGAGTCCGAGTGTCGACGCTCAGTCTAATCGATCTTGCTGGTTCAGAGCGCGCTGCCGAGGACAAGGAACGGCGAACAGAAGGTGCCCACATCAACAAAAGCTTACTTACATTGGGCACCATCATCTCCAAGCTATCAGAGGCAAGAGATAAGACGGGCAATCCAACTGATAAAGAGGGGAAACACCTTCCATATCGAGACAGCAAACTCACGAGATTACTGCAGCCTGCTTTGTCAGGAAACTCACTGGTCAGTATTCTTTGCACGGTTCAGCTAGGAGGAGCAGCCAAGTCTCACTCCGGCGAAACCCTTAACACCTTGAAGTTCGCAGCCCGAGCCAAGAACAGCATTGTCAGTCATGCTAAACGAGCGGAGGAAGCATTTGGTAGTGGTGGAGGTGATGCCGGAAGCAGAGTTCTCCTGGAGCGGTATCGTATGGAGATTCAGACGCTCCGTAACCAGTTAGAGAGTCAGACCAAGGCTCAAGCTGAGAAGGAGCTGAAGCTGGAAGAGCAGCAGCTCGAAAAAGAAGCGCAGGCACGCCACGAAGAGCAAATGCTTGAAATGCAACTGGCTCGGACGGCATTAAAGGAAAGGATCGAGCATTTGAATCGTCTGATTCTATGTTCCAAGTCTACTGGTGTAAATACCTATGGAAGCATATCCGCTCTTGGTCGCCTATCAAGGATGTCGGCTACTGAGACTGGATCTCGATCTTTGCGTTCTTCACTCAGTCAGTCTACATTAGGTGCATATGGGCACTCGTCGCTTCGTCCAGTCTCATTCCTTTCTGTTAACAGCAGTGATTATCCCGGTAATCAACCTTTCTCAAACGGGCATATTGGGAACGAAGATGAGGAGGATTTTATTGGCGAATTTGCAGATGGGAAAGCAAGCGCCCAAAGACAAATCGCGGCCCTTCAGGCCGATCTCAACGACAAGAATCGCTATATCTCTACATTGGAGCGGCGACTTCTTCAAGCACGCCGGTCCAGTCATTCCCGCATGTCCATAGGTATGAAGGCCGGAAGTGCTACTTCTGACGCCCCTGATGTGCTAGCTCTTTTACGGGAGAAGGACATGGAGATCAATGAGCTTCGTCTACAATTAGACGACAAAGACCGGATGCTTGCTGCCCTTCGCTCTGCTGCTCGACATCGAGATCTTGCCCACTCAGCAGCCGACTCCTTCGTGTCAGACACGAAAGATAGACCTGGGCGTCAGGAACATCAACCCGATGGTGATGACTCAGCGGCTTACGACTCAGCCGTTGGTCTCTGTTCACCACTCAAAGAAGAAGAAACGGAAGAAAAAGGGCGTGGCATGGACGACGTGTCACGCATTCTGGACGAGATGTTACAGGACCGCGTTGAGAGTGGGCACCTCATCAAGGGATCTCGTGGGAGTGTTCGTGTTGCCGCAGAAAGTCGGCGGACATCTGAATCCATGACCGGTTTGCCAGGGTTGAGCGCAGGCACTACGGATTTGGCAGACTCTAGCTAAGGTCAGCGATCTTGAATCGCGTTTCCTGTCCTCCATTTCGCCCGAACTTTTTGCGAGACACTATTTCCTCTTCAGGTCTATTAGTTCTGCTCAGGGCAGGCAGTATGGCTGTTGTTTGACTGCCTTGCCGCCACGCGCCAATCCGTACAGTTTCTCACCTTTTCCGCTTTGCCTTGCCTTGCACCCTCTTCATTGTCATTCCACGTTTCTTTCTATAATACCCTTTCTTTTTGTGTGGACTGATCTAGATACCCGATTTCCCTTTCTCTTTCCTAGCTTCGTCTTGTGCTTCCTTTTTACCCATTTCTCTGTCCTGATATTCCTGTTACGCCTGCCTGGTGGTAGACATGTTGATTAGTAATGACATAATGAAAGTATGTTGAGAGGGTAGTAGGATATAATCATTCCCCTTATAGTTTCTTCATTTCGAATCGTCCGAAGTGGAGAATCTTATTCGTTCTATAGGAAGGTATGGTTGGACGATAGCCCTTGTAGTTGCAGTGGGGATGCTAGAAGTGTTGTTTGAGACGGTGTATCAACCAATAGTAATCAATATAGTATGGGATGGGGATGGCGACTTGGCATCTTTGTTTCATAAAGTTGGTTTTAGGTTTATTAGGACTAACTGTTAGTATGTACCTGGGCCTCTGGTTGAACAGGAGCTGATACAGCTAGCTAATTAATTGTGGCCAAGCATGCCTTTTCGACGGCAGGATTAATAAGGTGTATCGAGCATACGATCATGGGGTAACAGATAAATGTATAGATATATCCATCTAATTTGGTACTGCTGCTTGATATATGAGTAGTATGGTCTTCCTAGTACTATATGTTTGTAATTATGTGGGATCCAGGTGAGTCTTATCATGATAGAGCCTAGAGAAATCTAAAGTGGCAGTTGTTTGCAGCCCGATGATTTATTATTGCTATATATGTATATACTATAGATTGGATGTCTTCAGCATTTAGCCCCTGTTGTTATTGCCCTTTTACTGTATGGTTAAGTTCATATACTCGATACCTTCTACAATAGATATACTCAAACCTTGAGCCTAATACGCAGATTCGAGAGGAATTAACTTCTCCTAGACTTGCTTTATCAGGTGCCTCTAGATAGAGTTGCTCGCAACTTGGTTTGCACTAGCAGTCCCTATAATACCAAGAAGAGAGACCTCTACCTCTTCCCGGTGATTTTCTACCATAATGAGACTGCAGGCACGATCATGGAAGTTCGAATGTTCCTATGATTGAGAACACCTTGGAAAATTGATGGATCGGAAGCATCTGCTAGCCTCGCTCACCCCCTTACTCCGTACTCACCGAAGCCTTATGTGCCTAATAAATCTAGGCAAAGGTATATATAAGCATATGTATATAGTAGATAGTGATACAAAAGAATCTTCCTTTATCTCCGATAAACCTTCGCTGTTAGTGTGTCTCAAGCAACGATTTCGATCTCCGATGTTCTGTCCCTGGCATATTTATCTTTCCACTCTTCCCATATTCTTTCTAATTCCTGCACGTACAAGGAATGAAGATGGTTGATATAATCATCGTCGATCTTCTCCCTATCCCGCTGCTGCACAACATGGATTGGGCGACCGACAACAATGTTGAGTGGCCGACGATATGGCATCAGACCCACGTCATAGTTGAACACACCACGGGCATGAAATAACGGAATAGTAAACCCCAATGTGTGTTTGACCAGCATCTGCAATTTGTGTATAACAGGATGGTTTTCAGAGCGCACTTGTTCATAGAGATCATTTTCACCAAAGGCCAGTACAGGCACAAGATCGGCGCCAGTGTGGATTGCCAGTTTAATGAAACCCTTACGCCTCTTGAGTACAAGACGCAATGTATGCGGAAGAGCATCAAGAGACTCGCGCGCACCACCTATGACGATAGTTACAGCACGGCCCATTCCTTCGCCATCAATACCACCTTTTGATAGCAAATTCTCGCATGATTCGCGCGAGACACTTGCAATCCCCATGGCTAGTGCATATTCCCTGTAGAAGGGGATTCGGAAGTTCGAATCAAGCGTAAGCAAGGTGTTGGTGATACCAGGAAAGAGTCCTGCAAACCCAAGAGCCTCGGTAGCAAACGCTGCAAAAGCGCCATGGGAGATGATTCCATGCGGATGATAGCCAAAGATATACTTCCGGGTTGGGAGGAGAGGTTCTGACCGATGCAAGCGGGCCGGGAAATACGATGCATATATTGACCATACGCCGAGTGATCGTAGAAAGTCACACCTACCGCTCAAATCGCCTGACGTGGCTGCCGTTGAAAAAAGGGATATATAGATAAGATAAGGCAGTATAATAGGCCAGAATAAAGGGATTGCACACACGAAGAAGAACGCTGTTAAAAGAATTGCAATTGTTAAAGTATGGCATAACACCACCAGAGTCTGTAAGCGCCGTTCGAGTCCAACATTGAGTGGGGCCCAGCGAATACTAGAAGAGCGCTTGCTTGTCAGAGACCGAGACATGAGGGGAAGATTCGCAGAAATATACTGAAATACTCACCTTGCCCCCCTTGACTCCTTCGTGGTTTCTTGGGCTGCTTGGGAAGCAGAACCACCAGGCATTACGGACGAACCTGCCTTGTATGGCAAACTTGTCCGATTCCAGAGCCTCTTGAGAGACCATTCCGTAGGTGTAGGTTGTAGCGCTGCATTTTCCTGACCAAATGGAACAGGGCCCGGAGGTGTATCGGAGGGCGACATCCGTTGACTGGGCGCGTAAAAAATAAACCGGAGCGAGTCCAAGACGTAAGTTCTGAGTTATTTATCTGGAGATCTGGACGCGTAGGGGATTGAGATTGACAATGAACCACGTCAAAAGATCTGAGCTCAGTTTGACTGAGCTTCAATTAAGAATTTACCACGTGAGTAACAGGTAGTATATTTGAGGGCTAAGTGAGTCGATAACGCTCAAGACAGTGAATATATCCGAAAGTCTCGAACCTAACTGCTAGAAGATGGAGATGCTTCGTCGAGATGATGGCGAGAGAATACGTAACAACTAAGCCTAGGTCGCTGCCGGGACGGGGTTGGTTTCTAGATAGTGGGTCAACGCCTGATCACTGTGGGCACCCACGTCATTTTCCCTTACTGTGTATAGCGATTCGGACCAGTACGGTGATGTTCAGGTTGAATTGGCTATCTACTATCTACTGTATACTCCGTGGTTTCATCGGCTTCCTTGCATCTGTGTCTTTGCAACCATCTTAATAATCCAATAGATATATCCTCTGCCCATAGCATCTTAAAGAGAGGTTCATTTTTCTTACGTGTTTCATATAACAATCAAGGTAAAATGAGTGTTACGTCCGGATGAGGAACGGATAGATAATACTCCGTAGAAAGTATGCGCATGTTAGACTCCCGCGCCAAAAAGAGATAGAAGGAGAAAAGAAAAGATAAGACCCCAGACACCCCCCCCCAAAAAACATTGTACAGTCGCCGAGACTATATATTCTGGTACAACATATTTGCTTGAAGCGAACCCAACTCCTCATAAACTACAACGACACAGCACTGGGCCTGAATCGCCAAATGACACCAGTCTACCTAAATGTATTACATGCAAGTATACGTGGGCCAAGAGTCGATATAGATGACTGTACGAAAAACCAAACCAAACCAGCAAGGAGTATATCGATGTCTATAAGTCTAGGGTATGTCATGAGAGAGAGATATGTAGCACTATGATTTGACCATGAATATCTGTAACATATTAGCTTCTGCGATCTGGGATTTCAACATCGAAGTATTCCTTCTCACCTCGTTGAGGGACTTCTCGTCCATGAGAGCCGCTTTCTTCTGCGCAATATGTCGGCCTCTAAAAACATGTCTCCCCATCGGACGGCGCTCCCTCGACAGACCTTTGGAAGTTGTTGAAGAGCTTTCTTCATCATCCCTAGTTGCCTTACTCTTTTTCTCTGTTGACCTCTTGTTCGTATTTCCGGAGTCCGTGGACTCAGGCTCTTCAGTATGCTTTCTTTTTCTGTCCTTCTTCTCCCGATGGTTCTTGGACTTCGATTTCTTCTTTTTGATGCTTTGATCACTTTGGCCTCCAATGTTATCTGACCCCTCAACGCCGTCAGAGTCAGGTCCAGGTACCGTAGCAGACAGTTTGTCCTCTTGCTTGTCTTTGTGGATTCCTTGTGGCTCCTCAGTAACAATGGGGGTGGTTTTTTCCTGAGCTAGTAAGCCACCACTTATGAATGTGACTGCTTGCCACTTCGTGGCAGCATATCGAGCCAATTTTACGTTGTCGCGCTTTTGCTGCTCGACCTGCAAATCCGCGTCTGACTTGCCGTTTAGCCGGCCAAGGAGTCCTTTGAATGCATCAAGACCAGTGGGCTCATTTAAAGGATCACGCTTAGGTCGCGCCCCTAGGCCCAGTGTATCATCCTTCAAGACAACCTTGATATGAGATGCACTCGCTGCGGTAAACATTTCAGCATGTGCGGCATTGCGTGCCCCCAAGAAGCTCCCGGGTGTCCATCCCTGGGAGCTCAAGATCTTGTGCCCAAAACCGCTTGTTGACCGTGACCAATTGGTATTGTTAGGGTCATGAGAAATTTTGATTTTCCTAGGTCACTGCCTGGTCAGAATACCGCAAATGGTGGATAGTGAAGGATGTAATGATGTTAGCCGTGGAAACTTACTTGCGAGGTGCTGCAAGTCCCATTTGCTGTAATAGATGGCAGCGATATCAAAGTTTCCACAAAGAAATGAAAGTGCCCTTCGCGCTTTCCACTGCCTTTTCCCACTTTTGGTAGGTAGATCTAATCCCTATTACTTTTCTGGCCTTTGTTCTTTGAATTCCCCCTTGATTCACTTTCGCTCCCCTTTCTATCGCCAGAAATCATGCAAAATTAAGCGAAAACGTAAAATTGAGGGCAAGAATTGTAATCAACGGGAGTAAAATAGAGAAGTCATGACTTCGATAATGATCGAGAAGAAACCCGGAAAATTTCCTCCGACGGCCTACTGTGACCGCTTACTTTGTTTGGAGTTGAAGACGGTCTCGACTCAGGGCAAATGGATACTGCGGGGTCCCTTCCAAATTCACATTCGCGTCTCGAACAGGAGTCGAAGTCACAAGTGTCACAAGGATTCTCAGATCCCCAATTTTTTTGAGGCAAATCGTCAAGATTGCTGTTTGTCTGAAGTTACTGAGACCCATGATGTGTAGAATAGCATATGGCCTCCAGTAGCAACTGAATTCATCCTGTCAGTTTACACTCTATGTAGAAATCTGTTGGTTATTGCAACCGTATCAGTATAGATTCTGCGTCACCTAAAAGTAGCAAGATTCGGTCAGAATACCGATGTAATTTCGATGCAAAAGTCGCATTATTCCTGTACTTCCTACACTCCTTGCTAGCCCTCGCTCATGCCAAACTAATGACTGCGCCGCAATGTTTGTAGCAAGCGCCAAGCATTGAGAGTGCCAACCGAAGCGTGTGCTGCAACCTGGACGTAAGCTGCTCCATCATGAGGACTGAGGATCCAGTCATACTTTAACAATGTCCGGTTTACGCATTTATACTCAAAACTATCCATATCGTACTATTGCATTAGCCACATCCGAAGACGTACTTATCTTTCGCTATAGCTCGGCAGGAGCGGAAGTCAACACTGCGTCTCATCTTAAGACTGCGCCGCGCTGCTTGGTTGAATTTGCTCCATTATCGTCTGTGGACCTGAAAGGCTATAGGGTCATTGGTGATGGATATGGGACCCTTGGGCTGGTTACACTAGACGATGAGGTTTTTCTGTGCGTGGTCACTGGCTCCTCCAAGGCCGCATCCATCAGACCTGGAGAGACTGTCCTGAGAATAAACAGTGTGGATTTCTGTAAGCCTCCCAGAGGCCTGTTGGTCACAGTCGTGCAAAAATTGACCTGAAAGGGAAGTCTGCCTAAATCATTCGAAATACGAAGACAGACATGATTACGAATCGGAGTCCTCCATTGCCGGTCAGGACCTCGACCATGACTTCAACTTTGAAAGCAAAGAGACGAATCCAGACTTTCCTTTCCTAGCGCTAAAGAAGCTCTTAAGTGACGGTAGCTTCTACTACAGCTGTGAGTTCAATCTTACTGATCGATTGCAGGACCGGTGAGTTAACATATGTTTGTTAAATAGCACCATAACTGATGAATTTTAGCTCAGACGAAACGGGAATCTTCGACATAGAGTCTCTCGATCAAGACATGCTGTGGAATTCGTACATGATACACCCACTTCTTCTTTTCAGAAATCAACTGTCTTCAGTTGAAAAGCAGCATCTCGACTCTTCTCAGATCCTGACGTGCGTCATACGGGGATTCTGTGGAACATTAACTGTTCCTGCCTCTGCTCAACTTTTGCCTGGTGCCCGCAAAACTCGCCTTCCGTCTTCACTAACAATAATATCGCGCCAGTCGTCTCGGCGTGCTGGTACGAGATTTAATTCACGAGGAATCGATGACGATGGTCACGTCGCCAATTTCGTTGAAACAGAGACAATACTCTGGATTCCACCTGACATTGTTTTTTCCTATGTTCAGGTTCGTGGCTCAGTACCTATATTCTGGGAGCAGGCCTCGGGCTTTCTTCCAGGACAGCAAAAGATTGAGATAACCAGATCTGTTGAGGCAACGAAGCATGCCTTCGATAAACATTTTAGGTCCCTTGAACTGGATTATGGAGCAATTCATGTGGTTAACCTTCTCAGTGAATTAAAGCCCGGAGAAATTAGTCTCACAGCAAGGTTCCGGGACCACTTAAAGAATAGCCCACTCAATAAGCATTCGTCGGATCACACTCTGCTGCAGGTAACAGAGTTTGATTTCCACGCGGAAGCGCGGGGGCCATTGGGATATGGAGCTAGCGCTCAGATAAGGCAGGAAATCTTCCATTCTCTACAAGGGTTTGCATATTTTCAGTCTGGCGAAACTGGACCGGTAGCTCTATATGACAAGCACCATGCGTCAAGAAGTTCTCCTGTAATCCTCCAACAAGAAGGGGTTTTCAGAACAAATTGCCTGGATTGCCTCGATAGGACTAACCTAGTACAAACAATCATCAGTTCGATGGCTCTTGAGATCTTCTTCAGTCAACAAGGGGGAGGGATAAGCCCCGATTTACAACTGCGGCACTCGACTCTCTGGGCGGATAATGGAGATGCGCTATCAAAAATGTATGCCGGAACCGGTGCTCTGAAAAGCTCATTCACAAGACACGGGAAAATGTCCATTGCTGGGGCCCTCGCCGATGCGCGCAAAACAGCTACCCGGATATATGTCAATAACTTCACCGACAAGGCCCGTCAAAACACAATTGATCTTCTATTGGGACGGTTGACAGACCAAGTCCCAGTGCATCTTCATGACCCGGTCAATGATCTCGTGTTAGAGGAACTAAGTCAACGTTCTGAGGAATTCTCTTATTCTAGACCTGTCACAGTCTGGACGGGAACATTTAATGTCAATGGGCGACATGAGGGACCCGATGGTGATTTAAAGGCATGGTTATTCCCAGAGTGCGATTCTCAGGCCGAGGATCCACTGATATACGCCGTCGGCTTTCAAGAAATCGTCACCTTAAGTCCACAGCAGATAATGTCAACGGACCCTACTACCCGCAAGGCGTGGGAGATTGCGGTACACACCTGCCTTAACAAACGTGCAGATTCCAAGGGAACTCCCAAGTATGTCCTCTTGCGAAGTGGCCAACTTGTAGGCTCTGCTTTGATGATATATGCGAGAGAAGATGCTTTAAGCGATATAAAAAATGTCGAGGGAAACGTTAAAAAGGTAGGTTTACCAATACTATGTGAGGCAATCCAGCTGACCTGCATAGACGGGCCTTTCGGGAATGGCTGGTAATAAAGGAGGCTGTGCCATCCGCTTTGAATATTCTAACACTCGACTTTGCTTCGTTACCGCCCATCTTGCGGCTGGGTTTGCGAACTACGACGAGAGGAATAGAGACTATGAGACTATTCTTCGCGGTCTGAGGTTTTTGAGGAACAGATCAATCGAGGACCATGATGCAGTCATATGGCTAGGGGACTTCAATTATCGCATCGGTCTTAGTAATCAGAAAGCGAGGGAACTTGTGCAGCAACAAGATTTTCAGACGCTGTACGACAATGATCAGGTTTGTGCTTCTCCTGCAAGGCCTGTGGAACATGATTGACAAAGCGCAGTTGAATTTACAGATGGTGGCGGGTAGGGCTTTCCAATTCTACACGGAAGGGCCTATTAGCTTCCCGCCGACTTACAAATATAATATCGGCAGCAATGACTATGATACCTCGTAAGAGCCCTATTCACGATATATTGAAGTGCGACAGGTAGCTAAGCGCTTATAGGGAAAAGGCGCGTATTCCCGCATGGTGTGACCGGATTCTCTGGCGAGGAACCAATCTCCGACAGATAAATTATGGCTCTGCGGATCTCCGGATTTCGGATCACCGCCCAGTCTGGGCTATGTTTACATGCACAATCAATGTTGTCGATGAGGCCCGAAAGAGCAGAATCCAGCAATCCCTATACAATGAACGACAAAACAATCTCAGGCTCGGGGACATGACGACTCAGGTACAAAAAGTGGGAGGTGAGTTGATGGCATTTGAGCGCATTGCTTCGGAGCTTCCACCTGCTAGCTCTGAGCAATATAAATGGTGGTTGAACAATGGTATGTTGGATCACAAAGTCATATCACGTGCCCATCAAGCTTTGGCCGTTCTTCGAATACGTGTACTAATCTACATGTTAAAGGCATCCCTGTGAAGTCACAGTTGGTCCCTCCGGCCAAGAATTATATGCTAAATGTCCATCGCGACTCGAATCCCTTCTCATGCGACGGTCCTGCTAATTGGAGTCCTACCCCTTCACTTGCCGAAAGCGACAGCAAAATCAATGCGGAAAATCCTCCGTTGCCACCACGGGCCATTTCCAAGATGTCTTTCTTGGAGAACAGGAACTCTTCCAAGGCAAAATGGCTCACAGATGACCAATACGTTTTCGAGCAAAGGCGAAGAGACCTGGATTCTCCTAGTGTCAGCATTGAACCCCCGAAAGAACCAAATGCGAATATGCAAGACCTTCTTGGGGGGAACATTAGTGATAATCTGAATTGGAGGCCGCTTACACCCGAGTGACATATTATATGAATTTCATTTATAGGGCTGTATCTGGGATTATGTTTAGATATCGGAATACCCGGCGCCCTTCACTGTTTTGGTCTGTATTGCATCTAGACACTCGTAAGATGCAGTGGCTTGTGGGGAGATTGGAAGGACTGGTAAATAGATAGACATGTTATATAAACACTCGGGCACAAGCAATACTCTATGGGTATATGTACATGTTCGTATTCGATATAAGAAACACCGGATGGTGGAGTTCTCAGACAAAGACACGGATAGCAGGTTACTGCCGAAGTAGACAAGGAAAGAGAAAGGCTGGGGGGAAGGAAGGAGGCATGAAGAACATAAAGGGTTGATTGTCATCAGCCAACCCCAGGGGCATGAGAAACCAATCTCGAATGAACGAGAGGAAAAGCCATGCCCCGTCTAAAGCAGACAAGAGTGAAGAAAGCTCGAGATTCACAACACATTTCACACAAAGTACTATGAGACAATGATCCGGTTAGCATCTATAGACTTCGTGAGCCACGGTGTAATATCTGACAC